CTTGAACGAAGCTATTCACTGGGTTGATTTCATCATCCCAGAGAAGGAAATCATTTTTATGGTCATTATACCAACTAGCGCCAATTCTCATTACGTAGCCTGATGCGATTTTAATTTTTTTGCCAAAGTCCAATTGTTGGCGTCGGCAGCTCTTTCGAAGGCCTCAACCTATTTAACTGGATCCTCATCCTCTTCACCCTTGAAGGTTTTATCATAGACCTAGTGATTTTCGTGACTAACTGGAAGAACATTATGCATAGCAACTTCTCTAAAAGCTTGGGCTATCTCTCTAAGGAGATCATAGGTCTGGGTTTGTTGAGCAGGTTGATCATCTTGGTCTTGGGACCTGTTTTCTTTGGTGATTTGTTCGTCTTCAAACAATAAGTTCTCCATGTTTTAAGATAAGCTTTTTTTTGTCAATTAGCTTGATTTGTTTTTAATAATGAAAATAGGTTAATTTAGGTGATAATAAGGGTTAATAAATGGGGTGGTATAGGGAAGTTCAATCTCACAGTCACTACCAAATGTAAAAGAGTAAAATAGTATGGGCGTGTCAGAATAGTTACTGGGCCAAAAATAGAACAACTCACTACAATACTAATACCAATAAACTATCCAAACTAGAACACTATAGCTATAATAACCAAACCCCAATATTGGTAAGGCAACGATCAAGGCGTGAAAAGACTTGGTCTAAGTAACTAGGGTTATTTTGGGTTTACAGCGATAGTGCCGGGTTCAGATAAGTATTCTTTTAACTTCTTATTCAGTACTTCACTTCCTTTAACACTTTAGTAATAATAATTCTTTTTCGAAGGTACTGCGACGGGGTCACATGATCAAAATTAGCCAATCGGAAATGTGGTACAAGGTCACGGTATCACAGGATCACGGATCAGGTAAAATGATATTGATCAATAACTTAATCAGGGTCGATTTTAATATATAAGGGGTGGATTACTAATACAATAGATTTCTTTTACTAAATACGACAATACAAGTTACGATAGACACGGGGACAAGAATTTACGAAATCGACGAACGATTATTTAACCAAAGGGGTATAATAGTTTATAGACAAACGCTTCTACTCTAATTTCGAAGGTTTACTTGGAACTATTCAAATTGAACTTAGCAAAGTTAATCTTTATTCAAGCGAAAAGGCAGGTCTTATATATCTTTTACATACTTATGTACATAATGACTATAGCTAACATATCTACTATGTCCAACATGTTCGCTATGTTGACTATATCGACTATGTCGACTATGTGTGCTATGTCGAACATGTTGACCATAATGAACATTATTTCCATCTAAGGTAACGATCTCTTTTCACTTACTACTTTTTAGGAAAGTTATTGAACAAACATTAACTGGTTTTTTCTATCGAGCTTTCTAAAAAGGAAAACTATTCATAGCAAGAAAAATAGAATAGGGGTAATATATATGTATATAATAATAGCAACAATAAAATAGAATAATATAAAAAAAAAGAATAACGGAAGGAAGAAGAGAAGAAAAGAAGAAAAATAAAAAAAAAAAATAATATTGGACCCGTCGCCACAGAGCCCGTCACAACGTACATCATTTAATTTGCCGTATAACCATGCACTTCGTGAAATTTTCAATATCACTCCGTTTCGTTAGATTGAACATTTATTCTTGATCTCATGATCCAGATCAACATCAAATACCTTGGAAATTGTCTAAGTTAAAAACTTGTATCAATCTGGAACGATCTGAGAAATCAGAACAATTATGAAAAAAGTACGTTTGTATTAAATA